CTCGTCAGAAAAGATAACAACAAAATGCATCTTACAGAGTTGTGATTATTAATAAATAATGTATGTACAAAGCCTTGCATATAATCCTGGTTACAGTTCCTTAAGTGACTACATGGTTGTAGTCAAATCAGATATATTAGTAAATGAGACAAAGAAATTAGATGGCAGGTTGTTCTTTATGATGGCAGGTTGTTCTTTATGAAGCTTTGCTCGTTTTAGCCAAGGTTTTCCTTTTTTAACCAAAATTTGTGACTTTTTAAATCAAGTTTTTAAAAATTAAGGCTCATGAAAGTAGGGATGTGTCTCATTATCTTTGTTTGTATCTGAGCACTAGTATTTAATAAATGTTTATTACATTTAGTTGAAAATTTTTATGTCAAAATGAATTTGGCTGTCTGTGCCTAACGCAATAAACTATTTTGTCAGTTTGTTAAATTATAGAGTATTAGTGTAGTTTAACAACAACAACAAAAAGACATGCAATTGGCTCTCATTATTTGTAGGAGTAATGCTCTATAAATTCACTGCAAACACTGAAGCAGTGCTCATTGCTCCTAAGGGAAATACAGGGTTAGGTTCCTGTAAGTCTCTGGTCAAAACATTTTTGTCAGCTGATGGCATAACCTTGTTTTATGTGTACCTCTGTTTAAAGACATCTGATTTAACACGTATTATCGATTCATTGACATTGAACTCGGGGCCAACAGCACTTTTCCCCATGAGGCACATCACAGCCTTCTAGCACACAGAGCACTAGGTGCTGCTTCCACGCTATGCTTGGGGGCTATTTTAAACAGTGAAATCACCAAGAAAAGAACAAAACATGGAAAAAGGCGGCATGAAATAGACTGTGGAAGAGCCACTTGTTTACAGTGTGAGAGCGGAAACAAGAAGGCAGGGCATCACTTTGACCTCAGCTGGATCTCGCGTGCCACGATCTCCAGCTTTTCACCCATCCATGCCCGTCCATGAAGGACCACAGAAGTGCCATGTGCACTGACTTGGGGGTTACAAATAAATTTTAGTGAGTAGGCAAATTTACAAGTATAGAAACCTCAAATAATGAAGTATCGATTGTACTGCTTCATCGAAACTAAATGTCATAGTGTACAGAGAATTTCTGCTTTCCAGCAAAGAAGCTGCCTTCCCTCACCCAGTGAACAGCCCTGACTGTATTGATGTTACCTAAGTAATAACGCAGCCGTCTGTGCTGGTGTTAATCACGGACGAACCTCAGTGCGTTGGCGCAGAGAAAGGAGGGCGGAGCAGCCAGGTGGCTCCAGGCTGGCCACGTGGTGGCCTTGCTGCATGTGGTGTTCACTTTCCTCTCTGGTCTTCGCTCAGCCTCCAAGCTGATCGTGTTGTCATTCTGGGAGCTCATGGTTTAGAAGCTCTTGCCAAAAAAAAACAACCAATTGTTTTTCAGTTGTAGTTTGGGTGGTAGGGGATTGGTGAAGAGGGGTGTCCCCCAAAGGAGTCCGAGGCCAGGGTAAAAGTGGGTGCCAGGGAGCCCGTGGGTCGAGGGGCCAGTTCTCCAGGAAGGAGAAGATCAGAGCTGCAGTTAACCAACAGTCCAACTCGAATCAGGGCTCACAAAGCAAATTACTGTGATCAGGGAAGAATGTCCTGTCTGTGCTCACAGTGTGCTGGCTGCCTGTGGCAATGCCAGGCGTTACCAAGTGCGCACAGCGGCCCCCGGGCAGGCCTGGCTGCGGCTCTGCTCAACCTGTGACCCTGTGTTCCCAAGGCCAGGGCCGGCCTGGGTAGCAGGTGAGCAGCAGCACACCCTCTGGGTGGGCACAGGCAGATAAAGGGCGGAAGGGGATGATGTGTTTCAAGATTTAGCAATAGTCCTACGCAGTTGTTAACACAGTACAGCTCTGCTGTGGGTTGTGTTTTTTTCATTTCATTTTATTTTTTCTTTTTGTCTTATTAGGGCTCTTTTCTCCCTGGCAGTAATAAGAGGTAGATATTTTGGAGGTAATACTGCATCACTGTGAGATTTAACCAACAGTGCACTAATGAAAATAACCCTGGTTGTTGCATGTGAATCATATCTGATAGTTTTTGAAGACTTACTACGGTCAGGTGCTTTTCTAAATACTTTATGTGTGTTAGCTCATTTCATCCTTCCCCTTCCACTCCAGCAACCCTCGAAGGTAGGCACTCTTATTATACCCATTTTACAGGTAAGGAAACTGAGGCATGGCATGGTTAGGTCGGAAGTAAGCTGGTGGTTACACAGCTAATAGGCAGTCTGTGCTCCTAGCTGCTACACAGTTCCATGTACTTACAATGCAGCACCTGACTCAGTTCAATACCTCTGGTTCTCAGGATTATAGATTCAGGATTCAAAAGCTGCACATCTGCATTGTGTATGGAGTCTGTGGAGCAGCTCAGCACCCAGGGCCTCAAGAGATGGGAAGGTGGGCCTGGCAGGCCCCTGTCCCCCGGAATTGGTAGTCTGGGGGTGGGGGTCAAGAACAGGCAGGAAACAGCAAGTGCCCCTCCCCTCCCTGCCCCTGCACCCCAGCCCAGCCCGTGTCATGCTCTGTGGACCCAGGGCTGTTGGGGAGATTGGAGCAGGGGGGTAGATTGTTAGGGGAGGCAGAAAAACAAGGGGAAAGGTGTCTTTAAAGAGGTGGCATTGGGATAGATCTCAAACGTGTTTCTCAAGAGACCCTCCTTGGACCCTCTGCAGTCAGGCTCAGCCAGGACCCAGCGGCCAGCAGGGGTGGAGCCTTTCCCGCCTGCCGCCCGCCTGCCGCCCGACCCCTCCTCTCCAGTCAGCCCCGTCCTGGGACTCCCAGAGTGTGAGTGAGGGAGTGTGTTCCAGACGTTTTGCTGCAGCCTTGGGCGCCAAGTTCACTGGACATGTGCACACACCTGCCTCGCCTTGCCCTTAGGGTCAGCCTTCCCTGTCGTCATTCCCTTCCCATAATAACGAGAAGGGGGGGGGCGTGTTCGACATGCAGCATTTGGAGGTGAAAACACACTTGGAGAAGTCTTTGACTCTAGGACTGCATGTAATTCTGTGTGGCTCTCCTGCAGGAAGGGGGTTTTGCTTGGGTTTTTTTGGCTTTTTGTTTTTGAATTTTAAAGCACCATGATTCAAACCACAGTTCTGCCTTGTGGCTTAAGCCCCTGAGACAAGTTGCTGTGACCATGAGTGAGGCATGGACATTGCTTGTCAGTGGGCTGTCCCGGGTCCCCTCGATGAGCTCCGTGAGGATATCGTAGCGTATTGGTGAGGAGGGGGCTGGACTCTAAAGCAGCAGCTGAATGCGTTTTGTGTTCAAGCTGTTTCCGTCTTCCCTCCAGATGTCCCGTCTCTGCCACCCTCTGCTCCCCAGTAGAGGGAACAGATTTTCACTCCCCAGAGAAATTGGAAAAAGGTTATAATAGAGTCGTAAAACAGACCCCGTGACCGTTTAAGGTAGTGAGTTTACAGGCAATCCGGCTTGGCATTCCAGTGCAATCTATTCTTCAGCTTCTCTGCTATCCTGCTGCAGGGCAGAAAGAGTCTTAATGACCTGTCATGCAAAAAAATTTGGCACCGCTATAAAAATAATTCTTCAGTATGTGTTTCTTTTCCACTGGCCTCCTGCTGCTAAAGTAAATGAGTAATGTTTTAAAGTATCCATTCTTTAACATCAAAATATTATCCTTAATTTCACTTTCTTTCTTGCTTTTGTCTTCGTGTGAGAATTAAGCCAGCTAAAAATAACTGTGATCATTCTTAGGTGCCAAGAAATATACAGATCCGATGAGGGGTGGATCAGCCCTCCGTTGGGCTCCAGGGAAGAAAGGCAGGTGCCAGCTTCAACAAGGAGGGTCCTTCCATGTGTGTCACTGACGTTCAGGGGAGCCTGCTTGCCTCCCAGGATCGCACCCGCTTGCTGCCTGCACACCTTATTATTTTGTGTCAAGTTTCTGTGATTGTATTCTTTTATACATGAGAAGGAGGCTCTGGTTATTTGCTGTGGTGTTTAGGCTGCTTTCCTCTGCAAGAAACAGAAAGCCCATGTCAAACTGACTTTAGCAGTAAAGAGAATTTATGTTGCCGAAAAATCGAAAGTAGATGGTTTCAGGCTAGGGTTGCTCTAGCCACTCTGCAGTGTTACAGCAGACCTGGTTTCTTTCCTTCTGCCGGCCCTGCCTCTGTGGTGGTTATCTTCAAACCAAGAGCAGCTCCCGTCACGGTCCCAAGATGGCAGGCAGCAGCTTTGGGGGTTACATGGTTCAACGTTCACATCCAGAAGGGGAAAGAGTCTCAGAAAGTCTTTGTCTCCGCCGGCTCTGGAAGGCCTTTCTTAGGTTACGTGCCTATCATTGCAGCCAGGAGAGCACAGTGCACTGACTGGCTCAGCCTGGTCACATGACCCACACTTACAGTTGGGGGTGCAGTTAGCTCCCCGAGCCACAGGGATCCCTGGATGAAGATATTTATTGTTGAGAAGGGAGCGGGGATAGTGCTGGAAAAGCAGCCAATGGACACCAACTCATGTGGCTTAGCAGTCCCCCAACTGTGAACAAAATAATACACCATTTTTATGTTTTGGATGTTTCCATTGATTAATATTGGTGCTAGAACTATGTTGTCAAAAGCAGAGCCTTACCTACTTTTCTACCAATTCCCTGGTTTCAATTTGTTTTTTTCCTGCCTCCAAGACTAGACACACAAGAAAAGAGCTTTTTTGGAAGTAAAGTCAGATCAGAGAGCTTCCCTGCCGCTGTCCCAGGACCTGAAATGGGAAGGGAGACATTACCCTTTCAATAAAATGGACTTAACAAGCTCTTATTCCTTGCATCATTGTTCATAAATAAGCTTAATAAAACTGAGCTATGGTGTAAGAAACATCCCTACCTAGTTTGTTAATCTCCCACAATTTGAACTTTCCTGTGCACGATTCTCTTTTCCCCTCGCACATCCTCTCTTAAATCCTTTTTTCTTTTTTTGTTAGTGAACAATAAAATAGTCTTCCGTGTTCTCTTTCCAGCGGGCAGTTCGCGGTGGTGAAGAAATGCCGCGAGAAAAGCACAGGTCTGCAGTATGCCGCCAAGTTCATCAAGAAGAGGAGGACCAAATCCAGCCGGCGGGGCGTGAGCCGCGAGGACATCGAGCGGGAGGTCAGCATCCTGAAGCAGGTCCAGCACCCCAACGTGATCACCCTGCACGAGGTGTACGAGAGCAAGACGGACGTCATCCTCATCCTGGAGCTGTGAGTGCGTGGGCCGGCGGGCGGCAGGGCATGGCGGGCGGCAGCTTCCTTCCAGCCGCCCCGCCGTGGCCTCCTCTGGAGTCGGTGCTGCCATGCCGTGTTCGGGGACAGCACTGTGCTGCTGACCCGAGGCTGGCGGCGGTTACCTAGAATCAGTCCTAAAGAGCGGCTTCCGTCTTCCACCCGATTTGCAAGAGGCTCGCCCAGTTGCGGGGCTCCCCACTCTCCGGGGCTCACTTGTCATGAGCTCGTCTGTTTTCCCAGTTTTCTATTAAGCTTCAAACACGCCCTTCTCCCCTCTCACTCTATCCCTGTCCTCCCTCTGTTTTCCTGCCTTTCTTCCTCTGTTCTCTTTCTGTCGTCCCCCCATTTCCTCCCCCCACCTCACACACACGTACACCCCATTTTTAACTGTTGGAACTATCAACGCTAATTATACAAAGGGGTAAAATTGGGCCAGAATCACTCAGATGTGATTATAGGACTTGTTTTTAAAGTGAGTTGCTGATTTTCTCAGGCGAGCCCTGCCCGTCGGGTGTTATTCCGGGAAACTGACTGTGGCACGTGGCAGCTCCTGTCCTCCCTGCCCCCGTTTCCGCCTGAGTGTGCCGAGCGGCCGCTCCCATGGCTGAGTCCAGCGGCTCTGCTGGCAGGAGAGGAGGGAGCCAGCCGAGGACGCGCAGCTGGTCTGGCTCTAGGCTCTGTGGACGGAGGCGTGACATTAGCGCCCTGGGGGAGGAGGGATGAGTGGAGCAAGAGGAGATTTGGGGACAAACCAATCCTGGTTGGTTCTTAGCGATGACAGGCCCCATCTACTTCCCAGGAGCCTCCTGAATTCAGATTTGCCTTTGTGCCAGTCCAACAGCCCCCTTCTTTGCAGGTCGCCTGAGGATAAGAGGTGATTTTTGAGACCAGAGAAGAAGGAAATGAAAGTGGGTTTGCAGAGCGGCCAGGCCAGCCCCCAGGTGCTCCTGCAGTCACCTGGCTTTGTAATCACAGGTGCCTGTGGTCCCACAGCGTCTTGTCTCATCACTGGGATTAGGACACCTTCTTTTATGAGTCTCAGACTCAAATTTCTTAACTATAAAATAGGATTTATATATATTATATTTATACCTCAAAGGGATTTGGGGAGATAATGGCATAAGGATTTTAAAATACCTAGCATAGTGCTAGCTCATAGATGTGTTTAGTACGCATTTCCTTCTTTCGTTTCTTCTTCCCTTCTTCCTTTCCTCCCTCCCTTCCTTTCTTCCTTTCTTCCTTTAAACCAGCAGTTCTCAGTCTTGGCGCTAGTGACATTGTAGGCTGGACCGTTCTTCATTCAGGCTGCCGGCCCGTGCCTTGTAGGATGCTTAGCAGCATCTCTGGCGTTTACCCACTGGATGCCAGCAGCATCCTCTCCCATGCTGTTGTGACAACCAAAAATGCGTCCAGACATTGCCACATGTCCCCTAGGGGCAAAATCTCCTTCCCCCCCACCCCCACCCCTGAATTCCAGCTTTAAGGGAAGAGCGGGGCTTTAAGGGGCTAAGGGATTTAGGGTCTGCCTGTGTTACAGCAGAGGAAAAGGCAGGAATCCAGGTGTAATCCTCTCTGTGGCTTTATGTGGCTTCCGGGCAGCTGCAGGCTACAGTAAAGTCAGGGACTGGGGAGCCAGACAGAACTGGGATCAAAACCCAGGGCAAATCCTTTTCTGTCTTTAAGCCTAAATCTCCCTTCAGGCCATGAATATTTAAGTGCCTGGAAAAAAACATAACAAATCACAACTATTTTGCCTTTTCAGAGAATTCCCATGTTGTGTCCAGTGACTCTTATCTTCTTGTCATATCAAAATATGCAGACTGCCCCTCCTGTGCCTAAGTGGGGCCCACGCCTCATGGCTGATGGGCAGCACATGTGGGTACTCTGGATTCAGGTTGTTGACCGACCCAATTTCATAGACAGTTCCGTTGGGCGCATTTACCCTGTGCCTAATTGGGTGGCATACAATTTTTTCTTTTACCATTTGATTTTTTTTTTAAATTTTAGTTTACCATACAGTAAATGTGGTGTTGGAGGAGGGTTGTGTCATTCTATGAAAGGTAGCACATGTAGGTCCTATAACCACCACCCCAAACAGGACACGGGACAGTTCCCATACTCCAAATACTCCAGCACCCTGTGTGCTATTAATATTTGTTTATAGTCACACTTACCCTCGATCCACAGCCCCTGACAACCACTGAGCCGATCTTCATCACTATCATTTTGTCTTTGCAAAAATACCCCACAAATAGAACCATACAATATATAACCTTTTGAAACTGGCTTCTTTTAGTCAGCATAATGCTTTGCAGATTTTGAGTTCGAACAATTAATCTCTTTTTACTGCTGAGTAATGTCCCATCTTATGGATGTCTGTTTATCCATTCACCTATGGAAGGACATTTGGGTTGTTTCTAGGATTTGGTGATCATCGAATAAAGCTGCTGTAAACGTTCACATATAGAGCTGTGTGTGAAAATACGTTTCCATTTCTCTTGGGTAAATACCTAGGACTAGGATTCCTGGGTCGTGTGGTAAGTGTGTGTTTATCAGTATAAGAAACTGCCAAACTATTTTCTAAAGTGGCCGTACATTTCATAGTCCCTCCAGCAATGGATGGGAGTTCCAGTTGCTCCACCAGCATTAGACATTGTCAGTATTTTTTTTTTTACTGTAGGCATTGTCATAGGTGCATACTGGCATCCAGCTTTACATTGCTAACTGTGCAATGACCTCCAGTGAAAGCTGAGCTCGCTGGCTAGGAGCAGCTGTTTGATGGAGTGGGCAGGAGGTGTCTGAGACAAGGACTAGACACGTCCTTGGTCATTTGGTCTTCACAAACTCCAGCATCCCCTGCGAGTTGATTGTCCTTGCCTCTGCATCTGCCAGGCACATGGTAGATTGGGATGGTTACTTTTATGTGTCGACTTGACTGGACCATGAGGTGCCCAGATATTTGGTCGAACATTGCTTTGGGTATTTCTGTGAGGGTGTTTCTGGAGGAGATTAACATTTAAATTGGTAGGCTAAGTAAAGCAGGTTGCCCTCCCCAGTGTGCATGGGCCTCATCTAATCAGTCGAAGGCCTGGACAGCAAAAAGACTGACCCTCCCCTAAGTAAAAGAGAATTCCTCCTGCCTGATGGCTTCAAACTGGGACATGGGCTTTTTCTTGCCTTTTGACTCAGACTGAAATGTCAGCTCTTCCTGGGTCTTGCTCATGTTGCCTTTTGGGCTGGAATTACACCATCACGCCCCACCATGCCAACTCACCCTGCAGATCTTGGCACTTGTCAGCCTCCACAATAGCACATGTGAATTCATACATATGCATGCGATACATAGGATATATACACACAGTAGGATGTGTGTACATGCATATAGGTACATACATGTGTGTATGTATCTCCTGTCAGCTCTGTTTCTCTGGAGAGCTCTGAGTAATGCAGTGGCACTAAGTACCAAGGAGGAAAATTGAACCCTTGCTGTTATCTCAGAAGCCTGTCCCATTTCCCATATGTTTACACTGCATGTTTTTAAACTTTTAATAGACTATTGAAAATATTAAGTCCATCTAGGAGAAGCAGTCATCTTTGCCTTTGAGAAAAAGTATCATCGTTCTAAATCTGATAGCTTTAAAGGAAGCTTCAGTCAGTGACAGATTCTATCTCGTCTTTCCTTTCTTAAGAATGGTGCAGTGGTGGTTAAGGAGAGAATAAAAATTAAGAACTTGTCAGAAAATAGCCCTCTGATGTAATGGTGGCCATTTGTCTGAGTCCCCTGGCTCAATAATCTTCGAGCGCATATAGTTTTTGGATTTATTGCTTTGAGATGAGCTCCATGGCAAGTCAGACTTCCTCTGTTTCCTTTGTGTATGAGTTGTCTTCTCTAAGCTCCAGGCTCATCCTTACCACTGAAATAAACATCCCAAATACCACTCCATGTGATATTTCACGAACCTCCCCCCAGTAATCTGAAAAGGTATCTTTTCTGTCCTTTCTACACAAACTATTTGGTGTCTGTGTTAAAAGTGCAATTGTCAAATCGTGGTCCAGAATCTGCCCTCTAAAATTTTTCGAGCCTGAAAGTAGCTTTACAACAGTGACTCTTGCCTCACTGGGGACTGGTGAGCAGACAGATGTGAAAATCTCCTTTTCACGGCTGGTGCCATCACGGCTCAGCATGGCATGTACCCGAAGGAGGCATATGTGATGTCTTAGAAATCACGATTTCATGTCCTCACTGTTCTGCTGTTCCGTCATGAAGTTTTGCCAATACAAAACTATCTTCTTACTGTGTTCTTGCTCACCCACGCGTTGCAACATGGGCAAGCCACTATAAAACTTTGATCTTCAGTGCTTGAGTGATTTCATAACTTGCCTTGTTACCTGGTGAAGGGTAAAGCCAGACTCACAGAACTTAAAGTTTCTTAAGTGTGTGGCATTGTTCATCAGAGGCACTGGCCTCTACCATTCCATTTCTCAGTACTCCGGTCTGTGCATAGGGATACATTTTTCTATCTAGCTCTCCTCTACCCAGCTGTGGTTCAAACCCAAATGCACTTAGGGGCCGGACAGACAATGTAAATGAGTGTGTTGGTCTCCACGAAGCTTCAGTGTCAGGGAATGGTGGAGACTGTGGCTACATGGAATCCCACCTTTGCCCTATGCAAGGAGGTAGCTACCAATCAGTTGATTGTTGCCTTATGGCATTTTGGATTAGTGTTGTCAGATCTTCCAACTTTTTTAGGAAAAGTCTATAATCTGGGTGTTTAATGTTGGCAATCAGTCCATAGTATTCATGAGCAGACAAAATAAAACATCTGAAGGTCACATGTGACCTGCACAGACTTCCAGATTCTACCCTGTTTTATGTAAAACTAAGTTAATCACTACCATGGGAGAAGTAACATGAGATAAATACAGTCAGAGACTGTCCCAAAGTGCTAGTGATTCTGTTGGAAGGGCAAGATGTA